AAGGGCCCCCAGAGCCCGAACCATCGGGCACGGCCCGAAATGCTCAGCGCGGCGAGCGCTGGTGCAGTCAGCGAGCCGGGACTGGYATCCTGTCGCGCTGTGTGCAGACCATCGCAGGGAGCCGTGCGCGCCTTGCAGCCCCTCCGGAAGGAGAGATTGTCCCCGCTTCCCGACCCGCTCCGGCCCCAAGAGACCTCGAGGGGCAACCTGTCAATGGGAAGCGATGGGTGGCGGCAGGCCAGGCGCGCTTCTTGCCCTAGAGAAGAAGAGCCTCTGTGGACTCTCAGTGGTGCTGGGGGGACCCTGCGCACAGAGATCTTTACCTCCTTCCCGAGCCAGGGTCGGACCCCATCTCTTGATGAAGGCTCGGTTTACTGGGCCGGGGCGTACAYAGGGCTGAGCACCTCAGCAGGGTCAGGGACGCGCCTGCTCTGGGTCTCAGAAACAAGGTGCGCACCCTCTCCTCATTCCCCCGGCGAGAGGCTTTGCGTGGTTCCTTGGACTGTCGGGAGCGGGTGCTGGTGCTCCAGACTCTGCGGGCAGCCCTGCCCTGCCCCATATCCCCCCCCATCCCTGGATTTTTGGCGAGTCTTAGTCCCCGTGAAGGTGGCTGGCAGCTGGACTTGTGTGGTCATGGACTCTGAAGGAAACACGATGTGCTTCTTAGCGAGTCGTTCATCGCCCCCACCGCCCCCTTCCTTACCCCTCCTCCCTTCACACTTGTTACTGCCTCCGATGAATTGAAATAACGGAGTGTCAGGCKCTGTTCATACGTTTTCATTGCTGGAGAGTGGTGCAGTGTCTTTCCAAAAGGAGAGCAAAAGGGGGCCAGGTGAGACATTCGTGCTGGACAAATATTGAGAGAAGGGAGTTTGCGACACGGGCAATGGTGGCCCAAGGTGCAATGCCGCGGCCCAGGCTCCGCTTGTACCGGTTCCTGGTTCTTGCACGTTTCCTTTCGTAATATTTTAGGCAATCCGAGAGGAGCCTTCCCGCGCCTCAGGCGGTTCCTTCGGGGACGGTTGGTACGCATTTCCCAAAGACAAATSTACAAAACTGGAATCGTTCGTCTTTAAAACCATCACTGCCGCAGGGACGAGGGCTGAGTTCGGCACAGCGAAGGAATCGCYTCTGCGGGCGTCGCATCGAGCGCTGAGGAGCCGGGGAGCGGTGTTTCATTGCCTGCGCACCCCAGCGCACAGGCAGAGCGCCAGCCCTGCCCGTCGTGGGGTTCTCCCTGCATCGCTTTTCTCCCTGGGGCACTGCTCCCGAATTTTCCAATGATCTGCTAGGTCTAACCGGTTTCAAGACAAGCTCCGAGCCCCAGTTGTTTGGAAGCAGTGGGTTCACAAAATATCCTTCCACTTCTCTTTGCAACGTACCCCTTCCCGACGGTCCTGACGGAGCTGCCTCACAGGGACAGACAGACCGAACAGAACGACTTCCCAGACCACTTGCCTGAGTGTCGTGGCCCCATGGTGTCATGACGCTCCACAGTGTGACATTCGCTTCCTAGCGCTGTAGGGCTAACCCCGACTGCGCGGTGCTATGGTGCGCCAGAGCAAAACGGCTTCTGGCAGTTCGGGGAAAGAGAGAAAGACTGGCATGGTAAGTGAACTCGGCTACCCAATCTCCCTGGGCATATGTTGTGCTTGGATCAACAGGAGAGATCCTTTTCTCTTGCTTACCCCTCAAGGGCCTTCAGTTAAGGCTGTCGGGAGGATGCTTCACCGCCGTGTTAACGAGAGGTGCCCTGGCGCCTGCCACACTATCGAGGACAAGGTCACACCGTGGACAAAATGCTGCGCTGGGAGAAGGCTGGTGGCCGAAGTGTTGGAGGAAAGAGCCTATTTGGAGATGTTGCTCCCCCTAGGGGTGTGTGTGACCTGGGGGAAACGTTGCAAGGTGGGCTATGAATGAGCGCATGTGATGTGTGTGCGAGTCTGCATTGAGCGGGGGCAGTGGTGTCAGGGGCCACTCAACATGATTCACTCATCGGCTTTCAAGTGCCCGGCTCCAGCCAGAATGTGACAGGAGCCACCCAGTGGGTGATGACTCCTTGGGCACTCAAGGGAGGGAACAGAGCCAGCTCTGTGGTCAGGAAATTCCCCCGAAATCACCTCAGTGTTGCTAGGGTTTTGCTTTCTTCTTTTTCCGTGTGTTTTGCGGTGAGTGTGATACGGATCTGAAAGGGATGCACGATCTGTTTTAGGTTTGTATTTGTGCTTTGGCTATGGTGCTCCACCCGTAGCGATCATTCCCTGGCTGCACTCAAGTCAATTTGCTTTTGGAAAGGGAGATACCTCAACCTCAGGCACGGCCCGGCCTGGCCGCGTTGCGCGGGGCTCGCGGTGGAGAAAGATTAGGCTCGCGTTCAGGTGTGTTCCTGCGGGACAAGAGAGATCGCGGGCTGAGCTGAGCCCCTGTCCCTCGGGTCTGCACAGGCCTGAAGGCCGGGCTGCTGGCGGTGACACGAAACGGGGGCGCGGGGACAGCACCTCGGCAGCGCAGAACAGCTGTAGGGCTGGCTGTGGATGAGCTGGCKGCTCCTGGGGACTGTGGGGCTGCAGGGGTGGCCGTGGGCTCCCCCGGACTATCMGGCCCCTCCATCCCGCACGGCAGCCTCAAGGGCTGGGCAAGGCAGGTCCCTGCCCTCCCACCAGAGCCTCACGCCCGACTGCCGTGGGGTGACGGTGTGAGGGGCAGCGCAGCCCTCTGAGGAGCCCCGGGGCGGGGAAGGGAAAACACCACTGTTCCATGCGGGACCGAAGCTGTGTTTGCTCTTCCAGGTGGGTATTTCGGCTCAGGGCTCCTCGGGAGGAGTRATCCGAGGGACAGAGATGCCTCTGCCAAGCTACGGCTGGGAACACCGAGAGTCCTCCCGGCCGCYGTGCTCACTGCCACTCGGAGCGGTCCCCACCGGGCTCCGCTGGGCAGCGAGCTGGGTGGGAACCAGCCGTGTGCCCCGGCCGCACGGAATGCCAGCAGCAGCTCTGAACGGTGTGAACACGATCACACCCCAGAAGACCGAGGGAAGGGATTATTCCCTGCACTCGACGGTCGTGAGACCGCATCTAAGACTTGCGGGCGGTTTTGGGACAGCCGGTGCGGGAAACAATGGTGAGGGGTGAAGGGCTGACGAGGCAGAGGAAGCTGGAGCAGCCTGACTGGGGCGGGAAAGCTCCCCTGGAGGGGTGCTGGCTCAGCCAGCTGGGGCACAGGCGTGTCAGGAGCACCCGGAACGATGCGGGGATGGRCATCTAGAGGCCTGGATCTTGACAGAGGTGCGTGGTGAGAGTTTGAGGACGGCGGTCATGAATGGAAACAGGAATCCGGACGCACTCATCCCAGTCTCYTCCGAGGTCGCCGGTCCCTCCCCGCGGGTGGACGTGAACGAGGAACCGCATTGCCGTTGCATCGCCCCTCTATGGGGACACTCCCATAGTTTCCCCTTTTCGGGACGGTGGAAGTAGTCCCCTGGCCACGCGTGAGCGTGTTCCTGGCTTCGCGCAGAGGTCTCCGCCTTGCCTTCTCGTATTTTTCGCGTGGTCCGTCTGCAGGCGGGACTTTCCAAGAAGTCGTTCTTGCAAAGCTCTTTGTTCCCTCCCGTGACTCACGCGTTTCCCTGCCGTTATCACGGCGATGTCAGCGGCTTTGAAGTCGAGTCATTTATTACCTCCCCGGAGCTGGCCCTGTCTTGCTCTGCTGATAGACCCGGGTACGTTTCCACGCGGAGTTTGATCTCTGTCCGCGCCGGTGGCACACTGGAAAGTCACTTTCGATAAACCTCGACAGACACTGCCGGACAAACTATTGCAGCACTAATGACAGAGATAATCCTCTCCTAATCTGGCGGGTAATCCATTTCACTCCAGTGAGAATTTTTAGGGCTTTAATCAGTGAGAGTCAGTTAGGGAATTATTAACAGAGCCTCCGCAGAGCGAGCTCGTCCAGAGAGGGGCAATGGTAGCGGGAAAAGGGAAAACGCAACGGGGCCCGATGAGGTCAAAATCGATGCACGGCCGGGCGCAAGAGCTGACGTGATGTATTTTGATGTTGCGATAGAATTGCCTTCAATTCGAACGCCACGAAGAACCCCGCGCCATCGATCGTCTCTATGCCCGCTCTTACGCTGGCTTTGCTGGCGACGGGGACTGGCGGTCCCGGGAGAGCGGGCAGAGCGCCGGGGGTAAGAAGCGCGGGGGTGACGCTTCCGGGTGCCGAAAGGGAGGCCGTGTCAAAGCCAAAGAGGMGCGTTTGGGTAGCGGCTCTTGAGGAGAAGTGCTTAGGCGGTCCGGGGTCCCTCGCCCGACGTGCGGGAGCCGCCGGTGCAAGCGGCTGCGGCGGAGCCGGGC